CACTGTAACAACTAATCAACATGCTCAACAACTTTTTCGAACTTCTTCATGACCTTTGGATTCAACATGTCGGAAGTGAGAAGGGAAATTCCCAGTTGGTCAGCTTTAGTAAATGGTTGAGCCATTAGGGTTAGCCATCTATAAACAAACAGTGTCACGGAGCCGAAGACACCCAGTTTATACAAAAGTATATAAAAATTATAGCAATACCGACCGTCGAGCCAGCTGCACTGCCTCGTCGATGCTCAGATTTGTTGATGCCGCTTCCAGATATTCTTGCATCCAGCGAGGAAGTTTACCGCGTTTATCTTGACGCGAAAACCTCTAAAAAGTTATCACTGAAGCGGATAAAGCTCTAGATGAAGCTTTCTGCGTTGATCAGTTTCTTTCTGGAATGCGCCATGCACTCCATTTCCATTCCCTTTGAACCGCTTACATTGGCGTCCTAAGCCTGGACGGTAATTTGCACGATCAATCTATGTACAAATCGATGTCTGTATCGTCCCATACAAAATCGATACTATTCAACCCACACAGAATGAAAGCGTCTTGGACTTCCTGGGGAGTCCAAATGGAGTCTAAAAGAGCGCCATATCAGTGGTTGTGGCTGTGAACATGACAGGATGCGGTTTTCTTGGAATATATCCAGTTGAGACAACTATTACCCTATTTTGCGCTAGACACAGACGTTTTTACAACTGTACGAAAACAGCATTACCCAACCAAAAGCGCGATTCCAAGCAAGGTTGGCGGCCACGCTCCTCACATACTTGGGATATGGAGTGCAAATAGTGCCACTTGGCGTCATGTCACCAGCGCCCTCTCTAAAGATGTAGGTGAAAAAAGTGCTTAGTTCTTTCTGCTAATCATTGTGGCCATTATGCTACCACCCCACTTTGCGCAGCATATGTCCGGCCGCTAAACAACTACATCTTCAACTGATACGTGGCACTTGAGTAGGCGGCCAAGGGGTGGCGACGCGGCTGCAGGGCGTCACAACCGCGGCGATCAGCTGTTTCCAGCCTGGTTTAGCAGTTTTCTTCATTCATGTTTTGCGCTCACTTTTCTTGAGCTTAGTTGTTCCTTGTCTTCGCAAGATAAACTTTGATTGAGATTTCTCTAATTTTTGCGAACAATTAAACAATTAAACGAACAATTAAGCTAAAAAATCGCCAAAACAACTTTCATTGGGCAACAAAAAAAAGAATCCACGTCCTAATACATTTCTTAAAGGCAATAACACAACTTACCCCAAAAAAATAGAAAATACAGTGAAAATCAGGGAGAAAATGGCTAAATTTAGGCTGGAAACATATGATTGCCGCGTCACGTGGACGAGCCGCAGGCTCGCGTGTGCGCCTTTTCGCGCAGCTAATCACTACCCGATGCAATGACTGCTAAACTATTGTCGACATCGCAAAACTCGGTCTAAAGCGAACCTTATCTGCAAAAATCATGAGACCATAATCAGTTTTTCCTCGGAGAGCTCGTCCCATACACTGTGCAGTGTGCCGCATTGCGTCAAAAGTTAAAAAGTCATTTTCCCTGAAAGGTTCCAATTAAATCGGAAAGGAGTGGCCAATAAACAAGACCACGTTACTTAATAGCAAAAAAACTTTGGATTTCCCCGAAGATACTCAAGCCTCGCTCGCAGAATACGACTTTCTGTGTACACGTAAGGAATCCCCAGCATTATTACACACCGGCCTGAAAATGAACATATAAAGAAAGAAAAGCAGATATACATGGCAAAGAAAAGCTAGTTGGAAAAACAACAGCACGTGTAATAAAAAAGCAATCCGTAACAAAGAAGGTTCGTTTCACCCCATCACCAGAAGAGGAATCGCTATTTTTTATCTACCTCGCGGTTAGGCTTGAATTAATTCTGATCCTTACTAACCAAGATGATGACTGAAATCAATTCCTTCTGAAACTTTTCCGCGAGCTACAGAGAAAAGGCAAGCACCACGACCGCTGTCGCAAGCCTCGACGTATCTGAATATAGCAGTGAAGACTGATGAACAGAAGCCCAGTAATAGAGAATACTTACTTTTCCAAAGCTACAGATGTTTCCAATGCGTCATTCGTTTCTATGAACAATAGTTTCGATTTCATCAATTCGTCGATCACATGCTGAAACGGAAAAGCACTCCCGTGGCAAGCAGGTATAGGTAAATCTTTGCCACAGTGGATGACAAAAGTTACTTTGGCGCTGTTCGGCTTAGGAGTGGCACTTTGCATTTTTGTTAGTTCTTTTTATTAGTTCATGCAATCTAACAAATATTTAACAACTATCAACCTGTAAATCATAATCTTATGTAGCTCCAGAATGGAACAGGTGAGCCACATTGGCTGAAAGAATTCACAAGTCTTCACAAACGGGCCTGTAGATGCTCCGCCGAGCACTCATTGGTGCCCCCCCCAAGCATTTGCGCCTGTTTTTTATCCTGAACCTACCTGTTCGTACCAAACACCTATAACTTGTTCCATGTACACGTAACTGGTGAAGAATACGACCATCCCATCTGGAACAACAGCAGCCATTTCCAGTACGAGATTTCCATAATTACGAATAACTGCAACATCATTCCTCTGTTCAAAACGGGATGTCATCGCTACCTGAATAACTGTACTGTCAATTACGAAATTTTGCCTACGAGTAGCTTAAACTTTTTATCCTACAAAATGTACAAAAGTAAATTTTCAGGATCGGCTCGAAAGTGAGTCCCTCCAGAGCTTTGGTATTCCACTGAAGATTTCGCAACTTCACCATCACCGTAAACGCAGAACATACTTTGAAAGACTTGAGAAACCGACCCTTAAGCCTAGAGCTCTCCTCACCCAGCGTAGCTCGCAATTCTGGTTTCTAAGCGCCTTTCCAACGGGTGGCACTTGGGTAGCAGCCACCGTGTGCTCGTAGACCGAGAATGTTCTACCTTCTAGAGCTTCTCTTTCGAAACCTTTACATCATCGTGCATCGACCACCATTTAATTTCGGCATAGTACAAATATGACTTATTCAACTCGTTTGAGGTTGGCATGAATCTTTATTTACAAAACTGTTCAATGTCCAACGTTTCAGCGCCTTTGCCTCCGTCAACTTGTAAAAAACAAGAAACATGCATGATCAGTACCCTCGGTAGTGGTCATGACAAACAAACATAAGATCAACCAGCAAGTCCAAGCAGTAGTCTTAAACCTCATTTTGAGTTGTAAATGAGCCGGACTGATCACCAGCTCAAAGTAAGTCAGTTTTACTTTTGTTTGGATTTGCTTTATAAATAAAGATTCGTACTAATCTCTTGAGTAAGTTATTATGTATGGAATATACATCACCGTTGTTAAAATCTTAACGGGGGTAGGGTAGTAAATGAGCCGTTGGAAAAGGAGCGTATTAGATTTGCGGAGAAGAAATTGGAAATCGAGGGGAAAGCTGTGGGTTTTTTCATCATTCATTATTCTTGACAGTATACCCTCCACTGTCGACGGGATTTTTCTGTTGGTTAGGCAGCGTTCAGACTTCGCGACGGCAGCGCTTCGGTCGCGCGTTCGATCGACGCAGTCGAAAGCATGCGCATCGATCGCGTCGAACGCGCGACCGAAGGCGCTGCCGTCGCGAAGTCTGAACGCTGCTTTAATGAACGAGAGGAGAATGAGTGAAGCTAGCTTAAAGGCTAACAAGGGTTGCAATAGGGGCAACGGTGGAGAGGACGGTCTCGCTGTGCAATCAATTTCCCATACTGCTGTGATATGCCTGCTTTTAATCATGAGAACTCTTTTCGATATAAGCACGATGAATGAAACATGAGCTCACACAAAAGCTAGCCCGTAGCCGCCCTTGTATAATTGTTACACAATTCTCTCGGCACTCAACTCCC